AGCAGCAAGATCACGTAACGTAGTTCGGTCTTTTGCGTCCGTTGCCTTAATCTTCTCCAAAAGGTCCGGGTACATGAGCTTTCGCCCACATTTTCCCTTTCTTCTGCTCACAACACTACCGTACTTTCCTCTGTCGGGCTGGCGGCCACGTTTCCAAATTCTGTACACTGTCTGTTGAGATACTCATCAGCGACAGCACACACTACTCCCATGGGTAATCGGCCCTCACATGACACCTCGAGGAGATGTTTGAATATCTCTTCTCGTTGCCAGCTTGGTATTCCATGGATTCAACTCGGATAGTCACCACGACATCGTATTCCTCTCACATTGTATAATTTGTGAATACATTGATTTTTGCAGGTTGCACGATGAACACACTGATTGCACCCCACGATTGCACTGGCTTTTCCACTTAAAAGGGAACAGACTAGTATGAAAAATTCTGCCACAAGTCTGATGAATTCTAGTTTAGCAAGTCTGTAGAATGCATTTGTGTTCAAACCAGCACCATTGTTCAAAATTCAACCGCAGCACCACCGCCTCATCCACCGTTCTCTTGTGCATCTCCGACTCAAGCTTCGCCTGCTTCGCCGTAGTGCAAGACAAGCCTACCTAACCATTCCTAATGTGAGATTCACGTTGGACACTTTCACCGAAGCCGACAGCGTTGAGAAGTTTCGTTTTACGAAAGCAACACTGCGAACACTGGCATATTCTCTGCGGATCCCTTCTCGAGTTATGACTGCCGAACGATCAACATGCTCAGCTGTTGAGGCTCTTTGCATCCTTCTCCGTCGTTTTGCCGTCCCCGACCGGTGGCCCGACCTAATCGCCATGTTCGGACGTTCACGCAGCGGATTGTGCAACATCCTCCTGCACGTGCTGGATCACATAGAAAGCAATTTTGCTGACATCAACTTTTTGGACCGCGGCAGAATCAGCTCGAAACTGGCTGATTTCAGTCGTGCTATTGTGGCCAAGGATGCCGAGATTCAAAACGTATGGGCCTTCATTGATGGGACTGTTCGCGAATGTTACCGGCCAGGTGGCGACAAAATACAACGTTGTGTGTTTAATGGACACAAGCGCCGCCATGCTGTCAAGTACCAGATATTGGTTACGCCGGATGGCATCATTTCCCACGCGTACGGTCCCATTGAAGGTCGTCGTCACGATCTCACAATCCTACGACAGTCCAACCTCGAACGTGTCATTGGAATAGACGCTCGCTTTAATGGATATGTCGTTTATGGTGACCCTGCCTACGGTAATTCCGATCAACTTGCCTCTACTTTTGGTGGAGCTCGTTTGACAGCCGCTCAAAGAGACGTAAACAAAAGTATGAGTCGGGTCCGCATTAGTGCTGAATGGTCCTTCGGTCAGGTAGTTCAGTACTGGCCAATTGTGGACTACAAAAGGAAGATGCGAATTGGAAAAAGTCCAATTTCCAATATGCATAAAGTCACTGTACTACTGACCAATTGCATAACTTGTGGTCAAGGACGGAACACCAATAGCGTGTATTTCGGCATGTCACCTCCATCATTGGAAGAGTACCTGCATGTGAATATGTAAAAATACAAAGTAGCATATTCAATTACTTTGATTTTTCGGCTACAACCTGAATTCCCATCTCTAACAAGAGACGCTCAAGTTGCTCGTTTCGCTTAGTGTTCTCAGCCATTTGTGCCAAACGGAGCTATTGTTCCTCTCTGTCAAACTCGCAGCGCTCCATTCTATACAAATGATCGTCAGAATGCTTTTCTTCTCAAATTCGAGAAGTTCCTGTGTCACCGCATCTTGTTCTTCTCTTTTGGTGGCCACTGAACTCACAGACCGTTGACGCTTGACTACCCGCTGCTCTGATTCAAGGCACAGTTGGGACCCTGTGGACTCCAGAGAGTCGCGCCGTCTTTGCCCCTTGTCTTTCTTCGACTTCTTCAATTCTTCGGCCGCCGCTCGCCGGTCCACAAGGTCCTGCAATAGTTGAACTTGTTCGTTGACATCCTCTTCGCTGCCGGTGCCCCACAATCTTAGCGCCTAGTTAGTTGACTTGAACGCCTCCACCATCGACTCGTAGTGATCTCGTGCAGACCGGTACTTGATCTCGTATTCGAAAAATGTGGCCAAGCTAACTGCGATGACTTTCCATCTTGCAATGAGTGTGCCGTACTTGCCGTCGTAGGGCTCGACGCGCACAACCTGGCGAAGCAAGGCCAGGTCCATGTCCGTGCTCCAAGCAAGCTGCTTGTACATGGCTTTGCCCATCATCAATCAATTTGTTCAGTGGTAGGTTGCCGAGGCGTGCAACCTGTCACGGCCCAATTTGATTGGCTTCGGGCACGAGTCCGCACTCTGTAGACTTCAGGGTGACAAGTCTGTAGTCTTCTCCACTTTTCGGACTTGATTTCGGTCCAAGTCTGCAGTCTTCGAAATTCGAAACGAAGTTTAAGTCTGAAAAGCGATTAACAGTAAACCAAACTTGCTGCAACTCTAATGGTGATACAACAACAACTGTGATCGATTGACTGAAATTCTCCTAGTTATAGCCAATCATTTAATTTTTTTAATTCTTCATGCACAGCAGGATGAACGGCTTCATTGTAGCCAAAGTGAGCCACAGGAATACGACCCATTCGTTCCAGCGACGGTGTAAGTTTGTGTTGAGCTCTCGTTTCGCGACCCCCGTGCATGGCGCGTAACACACCCGGCGGCAAAAATACCCACGTGTAATGAAGAGAGGGCTGTGCTGTGACCCACCATTTTGCAGTGTCTGTGTGACACCGGCCTTGCGCTGGACAGAGCGCACATGATCCTCTGGCTCATGGAACTCGTTTCCAAGATTGCATGGTTCGAAATGCCATGGACGTACATGCACGCCAGCCTGACCACTGCGCTCCACGAACTCCGTCACTGCGCGCCCTGTTCTCCTTTTTCTTGCGCATCGAGGCGTCGTCGATAGCTTCGTCGATCGACCGACGCGTCGTGCCAGCCGGCTTTCGATCATGGCGTGCGCTCACCGTCTCTGATTGGCTGCTCGAGTTTCGACGGGCCAATCAAAGCGCATTATTCAACATCTTGGACTGGAGACATTTCCTGGATCGAGTTGACAGGTTCCATCATCGAATCCATCTATTTTATTGATTGCATTTATACTCAGTACGGATTATGTATAAAAGTCCATTCCACAGAAATATAATATTCGACACTGAATAATAATATTCCTACTGGGTCCGTCGGAGATTTTCAACATGGTACGAAATGAATCCCGAGTTATATATACCGCGTCTTCCGTCCTCGCGTGCGCGGCGCGGGGTGTCGAAAGTCGGCGCTTCTCGATCCATGGTCGCCGCGGCGATCGGTACGCAGTTCAGAGCGACTGCCCACACGGACACTCGCCCAGCGTCGCGCTCGTCGATATGTCGGTTTGCGTCTTGGACGACCAGGTCACATGCTGCTTTGGCCTGTACAAGAACAACTCGATCTGCGCCTTGTCCAACACCGTCGCATCACTCAGTCGGGTCGAGAACGACGCACTACGCATCGGGTGCCTCGTGTTTGGCATCGTCGCGCTTGCCGCGTGTCTGTGCAAGCTGCGATCGATTCGACAAAATGACGGTATGCCTGCGAGCAGATGATGGCAACACACCACAACGTGTCCATGCCTTGTAGGCTCAACCATTCAACGCCGTGTGTACTACTTCATGACGGTCGCGGCGCTCACATTCATCGGCCGTGCGCCGGATCCCCGCTCCCACGAACGCATCTACCACCCCGTCGTGAGCGGCCTCATCATTGACATTTGTTCCGCGGCCATCTACAGCGTCATGTGCGCCTTGGACTCGACTTGATCCATGTTAACCCGCGCATGGAATAGAGTCTTGTACACTGCGTTCTACGCGCGGCTGGTGGCTCCTCCCGCTCGAGCGATTGTGTGCGAGCATTACATTCGGGGATTCACGGGCCTCGGGTTCTTCCTCACATGGTTCATTTACGTCGTCGTACGGCCGGCCTACCTCCTGCGCAGCGACCGAAACATCTTTGACTCATGGCAAGTGCTTGTCCAGTTTTCGATGGCCCCACTCGTCCTCTTTGCCACGTCGACCACGGCGCTGCACTACGGCCTCCATGCGTACCGGCGACTGTCGCTAATTCGAGAAGCAAACAAACGATTCGACGTCATGCACGCCATCCGCCAGGAAACGTGGCGCCAACTCCATGACTTGTACGCGGCGCTGCCGCCGTCACCCGCGCTGGGCTCCACGGCGTCGCCAAGCCAGTCGCACGACCCACCGTTCATGCCCATTCCGATCGTGCTCCCCACCCTCGACGACCAACCTGCGATCCCCATGATGCCGCTCATGTCGAAATCGCATTCCATTTCGTCGTCTGTGCATGAACCTGTCAAGGACAACAAGCGCGTGCTCAAGGTCCTCGTCATCATGGAAGTGTGCGCGGTCGTGAACATCGGGCTCCAGGTGAGCCGCCACGGCACCATCCGCGCCTTGTTGACGATCCAAGCTTGTAGATCGCGCTGCTCGTCAAGTACATTCGAGATGGATGCCAACTAAAGCAAGATCTTGTGTTCGCCACGGCCGGCGTCGGCGCTCAGCCGTACACATTCGACTTTCCGACATTTTCCATGCTCCAGGTCCGTGATCGAGGCATGTCGTCAACTTTATGCAATCCCTTGGGCAGGGCGTCGCCATGTGCGTCGTGTACTGGTCTTTCCGCAAGACACGGAGCCGTCCACGTGACATGACCGGCGGCGACGATGATCCCGCTGGCGAGTCCGACCGCCGCCACAGGCCAGTCCACTGAGCACGCACGCACGGCGCAATCAGGGCCTCCAACCCGCCATGACACGCGGCGCCACGAACGAGGGAGGCATCGGTCGATCGTGGAACGGCAATTGGGCATTCGCGTGGATGCAAAGACGTGCTTGTGCCTTCCGTCCCCTCAGACATCTCGACGCAACGAACTACACGCGCTTTGCGCAAACTGTCGAGTTTCGTCGATGTGCAGTCCCGGGGGCATCTGCCCCGTCGTTTGGCTGACGCGGTGGTGTATCCAGGCAGTGCTGCTTTTTCATACATGCAACAAAGCAAACGACCGAGAGTGGGGGTGCTGGCTGTCGTCGGCTCGTGAGGAATTGTGTGGTTGCTTTGAGACTGCGTCAACCCTTGGAGCACCCACGACGCGGGACGGCCACATCGTCGCCATCTGCGGCGATATCAAACCCAGCAAAGTTTGGAATTCCTTGCGTCGAACACGATCGAGACGCGAGCACTTTCGTCGCTCGCCTTGCCTCTCTTCCACACTGCATATTCACCCATGAAGGATCGACCACCCCCCCCTCCTCCTCCTCCATGGATGCGCTGGCGTCACTAGATGTTGATCTCGACTAGCCATTGGGTTCGCCCGATGCGATCTGGTCCCTGCATCGCTCCGCCCATGACGGGCTCACGCGGCGAGTCTCAGTGTAGCCATGGAGCGACCAGCCTAGCTACGTCCAGTTGGCTGCTCATTCAACGTGGTTTGCCAATGTAAAGTGGCTATGCCTTCCGAGCTGCAGTCACCAAAAATGGGCAACGAGCGGATGGTGCTTTCCGCCGCCGTTCGTACACTGCCGCGCAGCACCCACCGACAATATGAAAATGGGATCACAGCCATGGAATTATTCAACTGCACGACGCCATTGGGATATACTTCGATGGAGGATGTCGGCCGCATGCCCCTTTCACCGCCGCTCGCCTTTGGTGGACCACGTATTAGGCTTTCGCCTCGTTCTTTCGCCCTCCAAGTCTTGGGTCGACGTCTGGGATCATGCGTCCATACGGGGAGAGGTGGCGAAGCATAGCATGCACGCGGCAGAAGACAGGTCTTCGTGCGTGCACGGCGCTTTCCGTGAAGTTGGAGACTGACCAGACGGCAGAGTTGGAGGAACGCTTCGTTCCCTTTGGTCGAGTCTAGAGTCGAGTGCAAAGGAGGACGTGGCGGGGTTGCCTCGATTGGATCGTTGGCTTCATCTGTCTTGCCGCTCGCCACAATCATGGTGGTGCTAGGAGGTCCCCATGTCACGTGGACGTCAGGACGCACTGCTTCTTACTGGATTATGCTCATTGCGTCTGATGCAATTTTCGTCGTCGGCGTTCTCCGTGGCCTGAGGCTGCCGGGCACGTGGCGTTTGGGCTGCTGCTGCCTTGTTCGACCACTTTCATGACGCAAGCTGCAACCCGACATGTCGAACTCACCATAGCAACGGCACGTCCCAAAAGCTTGGCGTTCAACTTGAACGTGATGCATGGATGCACAAGGCGCGCAGCACCAAGTTGCGATGCGCCATACATCGCTGCATCACGAAGCACCGTTGAACAAGTGGGAAGAGACGGCGCTTGGCGAATTCGACTTGAAGCCGGCGCACGCTCTCGCACGTGCCGTCCGTCGTGGATTGAGCAGGTCCCCATGCAAACAGACAAAACGCAAGAAGACATTGCGCCATGGTCAACGCAGCGTGTACAGAGGTCAACTTCTCATCGATATCAACCGTCGGGACGGCCGCGTGCCCAGTCAGCCGATCTGTCGTCGCCCAGCCAGGTTGAGAGCGCCGCTAAGACCATCGTGCCAAAGTGAGAAATTTTGCTACCACGCATCCCATTGGTCCGTTTGAAATTGGATATTCTATTGTAGCCAATCCGAAGCAACCAAACAACTCCGGCACCTTTTTCTACCTAGGTGCGGCTATGCAACTTGCGGCACGGCGGCGATGGGGTTTGTCGAGGCCGCGACCGTCCTTACCGGCAGGACGACAGTACAGCGGTGCCCGTTCGGCCTGCGCCTTCAGCCTGGCAACACATGCATGTCGACGGAAACGTATGCCGCCGCAGGGTCGTGGGCGTACAACGTCCTGCGCATCGCGTGCTGTGTCCTGGGTCTGCTGTCGCTCGTGGCGTCCATGTCCAAGCTGTACCATATTCGACGAGGCAACGGTAGGCACGACGTTCTGCTCCTGGATATGTACTAGCTCGGTGTTGATTGCGGGTTCATCCGTGACCTCATCACAGGCTCGACTATTCAACACCAAGTGTACATGTTACTCGTCGTGGCGAGCATCACATTTGTCGTGCGAGCAGTCGACCCGCTCTCGTACGATTACATCTACCCTCCCGTAGTCAGCGGCTCGCTCTCCGACGTGTGCTCTGCCTGCCTCTACACTATCATGTACGTCAAATGTCACTGCCATCTTTCTTGGACGTGCCACAGGCATCCTTCGGCACGGAAAACCCGTCGTCCATCGCGCCGCGATCGCCCACAAGCGTCCTTGTAGGACGTTGTACGCTACGTTCTACACGCGTGTCGTGGTTGTGGCGCCGACGATCGCGACCCATCCCGAGGACGTGCCGCCTGAGCACGCCGTCGTCGACTTTGCCATCCAAGGGTTTCAGTGGCTCGCTATCTTCCTCACGTGGATCGTGTTTGTGGCCGTGCGGCTTGTGTACTTGCTTTTGAATCCAGACCAGCACAATTTTGACGCGTGGTATGTCCTGATGCAAGACTCGATGGCGCCGGTGCTCCTCCTCGGCATCTCAACGACAGCGCTCGTGTTTGGGCTTCGCATCTACCGCCGCCTGCGCCACATTCAACAAGCAAACGCCCGCGCAGCCATCATCGCGAGCGTCCGTTACAACGCGGCGGCCACCCAGTCGGGCATCGATCCACCACAGCGACGACACAAATCCAACACCGCGGACCCCATTGTCCTCGAAGGCAATCCCAGCGCAGTCCGCCATCTCGGCGACACCGCGTCGAACACAGGCGCCGGATCGAGTGTGCGCATCTTTCGAGTGCTCATGCTGATGGAGGCCTACGCGGTCGCTGTCATCGCGCTGCACGTACGTGCCGTTGGATGCCACGTTTTGTGTTCGGTTGGGTCTGTGTGAATGTCGACCTGCTTTTGACGGCGACTTGCAGTCGGCCACCGCGCGATCCATCATCACGATGGCCAGGACGGCATGGATTGCATTCGATGGGGTCGGCAGCGAAAAGTCCACTGAGATCGAGCGCTACTTCTCGACGTGTTGGATGCATCGCGCGACCCATTTATATTTGTCTGGATCCATGGCGTGAATAGCATGTTGTGCCTGGAGTGGTATATCTATATATCGTGGCCTGACGCTAGATCACGCGGCTCGTGCGGTTTGTGGCTGTGGATGAGTGCCGCTTGACCAAAGAATTCTTGGCATCGTCGTCTGTCGCGCACGGGGCGGCCGCGTTTGCCATGGATGTACCTGTCGAGCCCATCGTGCAAGTGAGTCGATTCCGTTGGAATACGCCGGAGGTGATCCCCTTGCTTAGTACGCTGGCGTGGTGCTCGTGTACTGGTCGTTTGGCAAGACGAAGCCGTCGGCAGAGGACGACACTCGAATGCGGCCTTGCGTCACCCCCACGGAAGACCTCCACGACGACTCGTTGGCCGTTCGACTGGTCGATCCACAAGGCGCAGACCAACCAGTCTTGACCGGGGCATCCAACGACATGGCGTCGACCGATTCGACAAGGACCCATTGGATCGAACGCGTGCTTCTCCACACCGCGTCATCGGCCATGGCGACATCAAACTAGCGCACAACCACCGATCGTGTCGAGCCTGGCGACACGACGTCCTTTCCAAGGCACTCGTCTCGTCTTTCAGCAACCGATGACGGTGGGCATCGGTCCCATGCCGCCGACGAGCGCGGTCGTTGCCGTTTTGATAACCCCGCACTTGGAGCAGCATGGAAAATGCCACAACGAAACCCAACGATGTTTTGACAACGGGAATCGATCCATGCACTACCACGTCGCAATCATGGACGTCGCTTGGATATCCGGCGATCTCCTCGTCCAACGAGATGTCGTACGCGCGCCGCTCTCCCCTGGAAACATACCATCGAGCGGCGGAAGCGCACACCGCCGCTGGCGTTCATGACAACACACCCGCGTGGCTCGTGTCATGCGCGGCGCCGACACTGCCACCCCCTGTTTGATTGCTTTGCGTACAGAGTCTGGTACAACGCAAGCACTTGTGGCGGGGCGTTGTGGGCCATACAAACGTCGATGAACGGTCCGAACCCGATCGACGACTGCGGCTGCGCCGTGAATATTCGCTTGACCTGCGTTGTCAACCGACCATGAGCTTTCGCGCTGTTCTGGCGCACATGCATGGCACGCACCTTTCCAGGTCGCGTCAGCTCGACGACGGCATCCCATTGCTGGAGCTGACCATACACGCACAGCTGCAAGTACAACGACCTGGACGCATCGACGCGGCATGCGTCGCGAAAGCGGCAGTCGCGCGAGTCGCTGGACGGGTACAGCAAGATATACCGAAGGAGGTGGGCAATCGTGGTCATGGCTGGGTCGAGGAGAGGGCGCGGGTGCTTCAACCAGAGCGGGTCCATGCTGAGGCGAGTGATGTTGGCTTGGAGCGCTGCCAGCCATGCATTTCGAGCGTGTTCGGTCCACATATCGAGCAAGAGCGCCACGTCCGTGGAGGCGTTTGGTTGGGATCGGACAAGCTCGAGGCAGTACGGCCGATCGAGGGATGCCGCGTGCGTGCTGGACGAGTGGTGCCGACAGAATACTTGCATGTCGGCCGCCAACATGATGCAGTCGGTTCGCATGTCCAAGAAAGGGTTCATGGAGCGCTCGGCTTTATCGGGTTCGTGTTTCCGAATCAAAATCCTGGACGCAGTGAGCTGGACATGCCGCTTGCCCCAGTTCAGCCCCTGCGTAAACATGCGCTGGTCGGCAAAGGTCGCGAGCTCGTGTGCTGCCGGCGCCAAGGCAGAGTCCTCCGCTTCAATGTCGCGAATCAATTGCTGCAGAGCAAAGTATTGCTCAACTTGGGTTTCGAGCCACGTTGGCTGGGGAGATGCTTTGAGCAATCGTGTGGCTTCGACCACCCATTCGCGCGCCATGGCAATGTCGGGTTGGGTCAAGAGAAGCTCGAGAATCTCCCTTGCCATCTCGGCGTGCCGACCGACACCTCGGAAGAAGGTAACGAGGGGGTAGTCTTGTAGAGATGCGTACGCCGTGGCCTTCACATCGAACCATGAATGTCGCGGTTGCAACCGAACAGAGGACGTACATGGAGCTGTTGTTGCGCACGAAGGTAGTTGGCCCAGTGATGCATGGCAAATTCGTGTTGCGGTAGCCGAAGCTCGCGAAGAAAGAGCGGCTCCGACAACGTTTGCGCTAGAAAGATTAGAACGTCTTGAACAACACCGGCACATTGTGAACGACAAGCGTGGGTAAGGAGCGCTTGTTTTGACTCGAGGGACGCAAGCACTGAGGACGAGAAGAGGTGACGATGCGAAACTCGGGGTCCAACTCCCATGTGGCTGAACAAGAGTTGCTGCACTGCGGCCGCCGCCGTCGTCATCCCACGTCCGACTTGTTGACTTCACGCAATCGTAAAAGCGATGTGAGTGCTGGTGATATGAATGCTTTTCATTGGCAAATAAGATGCCAAAACCGCTCATTGATTGGTTTTGTTTTCATAAATAATTCATTTTTATCCAATAGTTGAAAGAATGCGCTCACAGCATTCTGGAGCACTTCCAGCAGCAACGAATGCAACCCGGCAGCTGGCTGGCCGCGTGGGGAGCTCCAGGTCTTCTGGCCTCGGTCATTGTAGCGCTGCTGGTGTCCTTCTTTCGCGTGGCAAGAAAGAGTCGAACGTTCGTGTCAGATCTAACTGGACGGGCCACGAGTGCCGGTACGAAGCAGTTTCTGGTGGTGATCGCCCATCCAGACGATGAGAGCATGTTCTTCCTGCCTCTTCTGCTCAACCTTCGAGCGCATGCAACGTTCCATCTCCTTTGCTTGTCCACCGGTGAGCTCGTCTACTGTCTGCCTCGTCCTTGTCTTGATTTGTCGCACCTCGCACCAGGGAATTACGACGGCCTCGGCTCCGTTCGCACAGAGGAACTTGCAACCGTGTGGAAGGTTCTTCGCTTTCACCCCGATACCTTGACCACGTTGGACGATCCGCGCTTCCAAGACGGCATGAAGGCTGTGTGGGCTCCGGCCGACGTGGCAGGTGCCGTGGCGAAGTACGTGAATCGCCATAACATCGACGAGGTACAATCAAAGTGCAATCGTGTCCTTTCCAGCTCATGGGACATCCTAGATCTTTACATTTGACGACTACGGCGTGTCCGGCCACCCGAACCATATTTCTGTGCACTATGGCGTGAAGCATGCTTTGACCAACGGCCTCCTTCCCTCGTCGGTTCGCGTTTACCAGCTCGAGAGCACATCGATATGGCGCAAGTACATTGGGGCTTTGGATGTGATCTTCACAGCACCGTCGTCCGTGGTGCAGTTTGTGTCGTTCACCCCATGGGAAAGCTACAACGCGATGGCACTCCACTCCAGTCAGTTCGTCTGGTTTCGCCGACTGTTTGTGCTCTTTTCACGGTATACGTACGTGAACACTCTCACGCAGGTGCATCCATCCGATAAGAAGACAAAATGAACGAGATCTGAAGCGTTGTGGGATGGCATGGAAGGTCAAGGCGCAGCGCCGCGTCGAGATCGACGCTGCGACGAAGTTGCCATGCCGTTTATGCAACATGTGGTTCGCCGTTTCACTTTATTACCAATGGCATCGCGCGATCCATCGTACCATCACATAATTCGCCAAAAGAAATGATATATTAGCCAATCAAACGGGAGTATTCCTGCGTGTAAGTGATCGCAGCGCTTGGAAAATCGTCGAAACGAATACTAAATGATGGAGGATAGCACACGAACTGCAACAATTCTTGCCCCCTCATCATGGCGTCGCCGACCGAGTCGTTGGTGTTTGGCGGCAGCGTTTACGTGCACAAATACGATGCCACGTCCCACAACTACATCGCGATGAGCGATTCGGCGCTCGGGCTCGCGCTCATGGGCGAAAGCACCTCATACCGGTTGTTCTGCTACAACCGCGCGCAGGAGGAGGTCGTCACGACCCCACTTGATGTCCACGTCAAGTTCATCCCCCAGCAAGACCACTACGTCAACTTTTACGATTCCACTGGCACTCAAAACTACTCGATGCGCTTCAAGGACGACGCGGCTGTCCAAGCATTCCTGCAGGCGGTAGCGTGCATCAAAGCTACGCTGTTATGTCGTGGCCATGGCACCGCCGCGCATGACGGCATCCGAAATGGAGATGGGGGATACGCTGTCCAACTCGGCGACATCGTCGGCATGAAGATTCAAGCGTGGTTGTTGGACGCTGCGCCTTCCACGAACCCCATCGACATCGTGGCTTCGACCCCGATCATGCGCTACGTCGATCTCGACGACCTTCACAAGGTTAAGCTTGGAGACGCGAGCACCGAAGGGTTGATCGGACTGTCTGGCCAAGTCGTGGGCATGCAGAAAGGGTCGGTTCGGTTCATTTACCTTCCATCGACGGGCTCGACATGGATTCTTGCCCACGCCGAGCTTGTGAAGGTGAAAAAAGACAAAAGATCCAGCGCATCTCCAACTTCAAGCACCGCCTCGTTAGCTGCGACCGCCGCAATCACAGCGTCTCCCATGACGCTTCCCCCCGCCGTGAGTCAAGACGACCATGACGACGAGCATAAGCGTGACGAGCTCGTGACTCGGATGGCGCACTTGTCCCGAATGGGGAGCGGACACGCGCTCGTCCTCCCATCCACAGGACGGCGATTGTCACAATCTGATCTTGTCCATCAACCGAGTCAGCTCTCGGACAAAGTTCCAACGCCGATAGTGCTGACGATGTCTCAGCCTCCTCCTTCCCACGCATCAATCCAGAGTATTTCGCCTTCAACGAAGCCGGTGAGAGGTGTCGAAGAGACCGTAGCTGCACCTTCCAGTCGTGCACCCGCTAGCCCTCCTGCACCCAACGCCCGTGCACCTACCAGCCCACTGCAAATAATGGACCCAACGTCGCAGCTCCGACAAGAACAGGAGAGTCTCGTCGCCGAGCAAGAAGAAATCCAGCGCCTTCGACAGGCCTTGAACGCAGCTCGCCAGCAACAGCACGAGCAACTAGGAGCGGCGCCGCTGTTGAAAACCCCTTCGTCGAATCTCGTTCCCACTGCAATGCCTCCACAGTTCGCCCCGCTTCAATTGCCGCCCAGCGCCGTGTACGACTCGTATTCCTACGGCGGCGCTCCCCTGGCGCCTCCGACCTCGTCTGGCTTCCTGCAGCAACCGTCGCCATCCTTGCCCTTGTACGGTGTGCCTCCAACTTCTTCGACCTACACTGCAGTGCCATTCAACCCCGTGGCTCCTGGCTACGCTCCACGCCCGGCGCTGTACTCGGCGCCATCAACTCCGTCGACTGCGCCGCCTCCAACGTATGTATCAACCCCCAATAACCCGAACGCGGAAGTGGATACCACGTTGCAACGAGTGCATCGCACGACGCTGTCCATGGAAGGCATGCTAATTGAACTCCAGCGCAAGATGGATCGTGTTCTGCTCTCTTCGTCGAGCGGGATCGCATCGAGCTACAGTGTGTCGCCGTATTCGCGCCGTTCCGAAATGTCGTCGGCATCTTCCTCTTCGTCTTTGCTCAAGTCGATGGAGCGCGCACTCGGAAATCTTGACGACTTACAAGACGCCAACCATCGCTTGACCAGTCAAGTCGCCGATCTCAAACGTCACAATGCGCAGCTCCAGGACGACATCGATCGCCTGCAAGAGGACCTACGGCGGCACGCGGCCGCGACCACGTCGGCATCGTATGCGGCGGGAGAAGTGCAGTCCCTCCAGGCTGCGTTGGAGCATGCCAAGCAGCGATGTGCGCAGATGGAATCGGACGTGCAGCGGTGGACCACAGCGCTGGAGAAAGAGAGGAGTCTACGGATGCAGCTAGAAGGGGACGTCGCGCTGGCGTCGCAACGGCTGGCGAGTGTGCAAAGTCAGGTGCAGCAGGACGCTGTGTCTGCCCAAGTCGAAGAAGCGAGGAATGTCGCGATGGCCGCACAAAGACAAATGCAAGCAGATAAACAGGCGAATGCAGCGGCCGCGTCGAAAGCGGCGGCCGAGATGGAAGCGCTGCAGTCGACGCACGAAGCCGATCGAGCGGCATTGCAACGAGAGGTAATGGACCTACTTGCCGCCAACACTTGATGATGAATACGATGCGGCGGTCGATTCGTAGATGGAGCAACTGCGGACGCAGTTGTCGGCTGAGCGAGCGGCCCACGTGCGCGATGCCGACGACGTCAAGGCCCATCTGGACGCACTGGTGCAGGAGCGAGACGCCAACCGCGCCAAAGTCATCGCGGCCGAACATGCGGCCGCCGACATGGAAGCTAGGTGGAGGCGAGAACAGGAAGACGCGGCGGCCTCGCGGCTGGCGAGGGCCGATCTGTTCAAAGAGCTCATGAACGACATTTACTTTGCTTGCCAGGACGCGTTTGAGGAAGAGGGCGAGTTCACCGGGAAGGAAGTGGCGATTCAGATCCGCAAAATTCTCAAGCAGCAGACGGTCGAAGTCGTTGCCAAGTTGGAGAAATGAAGAATATGATGAAATATCCGTCGAATTGAGAAATATTTTTATATGACGAAAAGATCGCCCAAGTCGGAATCCAGCAATATGATTGGACGACGGGATATGACCTTGTCGGATCTGTCAGTTTGAGTTCGTCCATCGGCGGAAACGCGGGCGAAGGACACCGTCAAGGGCCAGCGTCGTCGATATTTACATTCTTGTACCAGCCACATGCATGTCACATGCTTCCCAAGTCCGCATGTCCTTGCCCAAGTGGGCGATGACCGTCAGACGTGTGGCCAAACCAAGGCGACGGCACAGGTGGTGGCGACGCCAGCGCACGAGTCGCCGCACTTTATCTTCGACTTGGATGTTACTGCTGACGCGGCTGTCGAAAGGAGCACCATTGTGATGGATGGCAACGGCTTGAATGTTGTTGATGCATCCCCTTCTCTGAAATGCGCCGACCACAACGGGCAAGAGGACGACTCGGCACCACCACCTACCATGACGTCGGTAATAACGTTGCAGCAGCCTCGTTTGATCCATGCACCGTCATCCAGAGACTTTGTGCCCTTGGAAACGCTTCTCGACAATGCGTCTCGCACGATGTACTCGATCGTTCGGTCGCACATTGTCCGCTGTAACAACCATCGACACGACAACAACGAAGACATCAACATTGTCCTTCGCGCGTTGGATCGCGCAAACGAGCGCATCCATGGCCTTGAACTCGACAACGCCCGCCTTGTCGATGCATTGGTCGACGCGGAGCGTCGAGTGAAAACAGCGGCAGACGAGAACGCATTGCTGAAAGAATCGGTGGAGGCGTCTCGACTGGAGCGACTTTTGCATCAAGCCACGTTGCAGCACGTTGACATCCTGCGGCACGATCTACTCGCTCAAAAGCAAGTTCCGCAAAACGTGGTGCTGCCCGAGATGGTGTGGCCGCCCGAGATCAACGCCAAGTTAGATCATGTCGACAAACTACTCTATACACTGCACGCGATTCAGAACAAGTCGGGCGATTTTTTAACAGAGAGCAGCAACAGCTTGCCTTGTGACGAGATCAGTCCCCTTGAGCACGGCATGCCTTCACCGCAATGGCAAGCAATGGAATCCCGTGTGCACGAGCTCGTCCACGAGATGCACATGGCGACGCAGCACATGGCCGACATGCGAGCGTCGGTTGTGGAGAGCGTTCATCGACAACTCGATGAAGTTGAAGCTTTGCTGCGGCACGAAGTAAAATCGGCAAATCTCGTCCACGGCGCTTTATCCCCAAGCAACCTCCCCTTGGACACGATGGCGTCAACCGACCCGCCTGAATTCCGAAAGTGTACCGTTCCTGCCTGTCCCAAAGGCGTGCGATCGCGCGGGCTGTGCAATGGCCACGGCGGAGGCAAGCGATGTGAAGTCGCTGGATGCGTCAAGTCGAATCAAGGCGGGGGGGGTTTGCATTGCCCACGGCGGCGGCAAGCGGTGCAACGTCGACGGGTCGCAAAAGCGCGGCGCAAACTCAAGGCAGCTGCAAACCCCACCGGTGCGTCAACTCCCCCACGAGCACGACCGAATGTAGACGCCGCCACGATGTAGGCACCATGGCGACGGCTACCGACGTTGACAGCAGCGCCGTCGTAGACAACTCACACCATGGGCATGTTGCTGATATGCCCGATGACACTGCAACCAAACCCGAAATGAAAATGAAGTGTATGGAGAGACTCGAGAAGGATTTTCATGCGATACAGGATGGAAAGGCGGTCGAAGCCGCGGTCGTTCTTGTCTAGACAACAACGGGCGGCGCCACCTTCTGAAGCGGATGCGCGCGTTCGATAACGTCGCTTCGATCCTGGCCGACCCCGATCCACTTGATGTGCGTGCCCAGCAACGCTTCGACTCGCAGCACAAACTTTTGCGCGTTTTCGGGGAGGTCTTCAAAGGTGCGGCACTTGGAGATGTCTTCGGACCAGCCGGGAAGGGTCTCATACTGAACCGTCGACTCTTCCAGCACTTGCAGGTTGGACGGCATGCCGCTGAGCTTGACGCCGTTGTGCCAGTATGCGACGCCAATCTTGACTTCAGGTAGACCGGTGAGGACGTCGAGCTTGGTCAGGTTGAGGTCGGTGAACCCGTTGACGAGGTTCGAGTATTTCATCTGGGGGATATCGAGCCACCCGCAGCGACGAGGGCGGCCGGTGGTCGTGCCGAATTCGGCGCCGACGCTGCCGAGGTGATGGCCAACGGTGTCGTGGAGTTCCGTCGGGAATGGGCCTTCCCCGACGCGCGTGCAATATGCCTTGACGATCCCGATGATTCCGTTGATCCGGTTCGGCGAGATGCCGCCGCCCGTGCAGATACTGCCGATCGACGGGTTGGACGACGTTACGTATGGGTACGTGCCAAAGTCGATGTCGAGCATCGTAGCATTCGCCCCTTCGACCAGGATCTTTTTGCCGCTGATGTACGCCTTGTTGAGGTAGTCGATCGAGTCGACCGTGATCGGAAGAATGCGTTCCTTGAGCTGGCGGTACTTTTCGATCTCGGCTTCCGGGTCCAATTCCAAATCAGGGTAGTTTTCCTTGTAGAATTGGACTTGGGCGCGCAACTTGTCTGCGAAATCGTCGAAGTAGCGCAGGTCGCCGACGCGGACGCCGTTGCGAAGCATCTTGGACGAGTAGGCCGGACCGATACCCTTCTTGGTCGTGCCAATCTTGTTGCGGCCGCGACGGTTCTCCATGAGACCGTCCACTTCTTGATGCAGGTCCAACACCATGTGCGCGCGGTCCGAAATGAGCACGCGGCCAGCGCAGTCGACACCTACCTCCTTCAACGTGTCGAGTTCCTTCAACAAAGACGGCAAATGCACGACGACACCGTTGCCGATCACGCACACTGCTTCTTCGTTGAGCACACCCGACGGCACGAGATGGAATTTGTACTTCTTGCCATTGTTCACAATCGTGTGTCCAGCGTTAGCGCCACCGGCAACACGGACAATGATGTCGTATTGCTGGGACAGCATGTCGACCAACTTTCCCTTGCCTTCATCACCCCATTGAGCGCCCAAGACGACGTCAACTCCAGGCCCATCACGCTTGGGGTTGGCAACGGCGCTTTCGATGCGGTTCAACTTGGAGAGCACTTCACGCAACATGCCGCGGGTGGTGTCGCGAGGCGCGACTTCGTTCGCCATCAATGGCTTGGATTCGAACGCCATTGAGGCGTACATGATACCGGCGCCAGCGGCAGCCGCGGTCGCCACGCCAGCGTGCTGGCGCATGGACGACAGCGCTCGGCTCCACATCGTCCAAAATCAGTGGCAGCAGGGGTCCGATTTGCAACTGATGATTCAACACCAAACGAAGTGTTTAAAACACGTTTGGGTCGGAAAAATTGTTTCAAACCCGTCGCCTCCACCCGATGTGGCGTTTATTTGGACGTACGAACATAATTTTACGATTTCATCGCAAATTCAACTATGAACAAATCGTTTTTCTCGTCCGGAGCTGGTTTGTATACAAACTCCATGAGAAATACCATTTGGATCTTTTGGATTTTTCGCCTAACATCAATCGTGAACAGGAGAATTAAACGCGCCTTCCATCGAACTCGATTCCCATCCACAGGGGCGGCATGGCACGCGCATGTTCGTGGACGATGCCGGCGCTGTCGTCATGCTCGCCAACTGGGTACAATGATGTGCCAGCGAGGTATGTGATGCACGCCGCTTGTACCGACCACTCCAACATGCCAGTCGACGACATGGGTGAGGTGTGCGACAAGAGTGTTTCGACGAGTGTGTTGGGCAAAGCGGGGTCCAACGAGAAGCACTCTGAGCAACGTCTGGTCTCGGGTGAAGTCATCGAGCCCAACGTGGTTTGTGCATGGCGCCACAGGAAGCCGTGGCGACAACTTGATCTGCACGTCCCCTCACCAAATTGGTTGGTGGTGGACTGCTCTTCATGGGAAGAGGATGGTAGTTCGATATTGTTATGATGGACATCGCACTACGAGTGGTCGAGGGCATCGCAAATCTTGGACTTGGTCACCGCCGTGTTGAGTCCGTAGTCGCGGTATCGGAACCCATTGAACGAGTTGGTAAACGTGCCCGGCTTCACGATGCGCTCGGTCGTGACTTGAATGGCTCCCTTCTCTTCACCCACGACACGCGTGCTGCAAGAATCCAGCGGTCATGCAAGCGTTCACATCGAGCAAAAAACTTACCTCGTCGTGTACATGGGGTGCTCCCCTCGCGGTGCGGCAATGGGCTTAATGTCCACGGCATTCTTGGTCGTGTCTTGGCTCAGCAGGTCAGCCTTGGCCCGAGCCAGCACCTCCTCTGGGGAGATCACGTTGACTGAGCGGACCTTTACGAGACCGCTTTGCTCGATTTCTGGGTCCGCCATGAGCAAGCACGAAGAAGGTCGACAGAGCTGCCTTACCTCGCTTGACGGCGAATTTGTCCATGCGTTGGGTCATTGGGCTCTCTCGTCGCTCGATACCTTCGCCGATCGATGACGTAGTGGTTTGATACATGAACTTGACGAGCTTTGCTTCTTCCGACTGGTTGTTGTCGGTGGGGCGTGCCAACGTGTGGTCGTCCAGTTTGGGCGCGAGGAACTCTGTCGGCTCATGCAAGTTGATGCCAACAATGCCAGAGGATGTGGTGAAAAATGGATTCGGCGTCTTGCGGACGTGATGCACGCGAGAACCGCGCGAGGCAGCAGACATAGCGCTGTGAAATGGAAATGGCCAGCGCACGAGCAGAGCTCACATTGGGCGTTGAGGGCGGCGACTAAAATTAGACAGTGCGGCCACTTGCGATCTTTGCATCGATCGGCGCAAAACACTCGCGCGTCTACATGAGGAGCACGGCAAAGCTCAAAATCCACATTCGATACGCGGCGGTAGTGGAGCTGCCACCATATTCCCCTTCGCGCAGTGGGAAGGGAGCTCCAGGATGCATCGTCCATGGTGGCATGGCGTGTCGATGGCGAGGTGCTTTACATTGTTCAAATTCTGTCGAAAATTAGTAAAAAAAGGACCATTTTGCTCTGAAATTCGAGGATTTTTGCAATGTGGACGTCCGAGTGTATGTCGAGTGCCCCGCAACTTCGATCGAAGCTTGCCAGTTGCATCTGAGCGGCGGCGGTCACACTTGGCAACGCATGGCGGAAGCGAAGGCAAGACTTGGCAGTCTCTTTGGGTCAAATGGTATGGTCGACAACACGAACGATCCCTTGAGGTACAGCGCACCGAAGGAACCGACCAAGGCGGCAACTGCCGCGGCGCCATCTTCAGCAAGCAGCGCTGAAAGCACTCCCAACATCATTTACACGAGCACCGTCGCGCTGTTCAAGTACGACGCAGCTAAACGGTCGTATGCATCGTGCTCGCCGTCTCCCGTGGGCTGTGTTATACTCGGGAACAACGCCAGTTATTCTCTCCTCCTGTACAACGCGGCAAAGGAGCACTTGTCGCGGTCCCCTGTTACAGTCTCGCTCCAGGCTACGCTCCAGCCAGGACAGTACGTGAATTTCTACGACGCAATCGGGGACAACTACTCGGCGCGATTTTCCACTGACGTCGACGCGCAGACGTTCATCCGCACGCTGTTCCTGACCAAGGTGCATGTCGGGATCTGGGGTGGCGGCGGTAGCGCCCCATCGATCTCTGCAAACTCGTTGACGAAGGAAGAGCTGTCGAGTCACGATGCGTCGGCCCGTGCCATTTCGGAAGGGGATTCCGTTGGCATCGCGTTTAGCGTGTGGCGAGTGGTGGGCAACGCGGGTAGCTCCCCTCTCGACGTCGTGACCAAGTATGCGCCGTTTGAAAAGGTGTCGGCCACGGACGTCCGGAAATTTCGCGTCGGAGACAAAGCCGAGCGCATATCGGCGCTCGAAGAAGGTGTGGTCGGGATGAAGAAGGGCGGCCATCGCATCGTGCTGGCGCCGCCGGCCAAAACGAACGGGAAAGACTGGTACATTTTGCAGATGGAACTGGTCAAGGTGAAGCCAGCGGCGGTCGACAGCCAACAAGCGTCGTCCGCATCCCGGCGCGCTAGCGAACCGCCCAAGACGACATCGAATGCGAGTGACTCGGCGTCCAACGGCCATGGCGGCGCCACAACTTTATCGCAGGACTTGGTCGTGTTTGAACAACAAAAAGAAGAACTCGAGAAGGAGCGGCAAAAGTTGCTCGAGTTGCAAAAGCAAGTCCAAGCACAAAAGGACGCGAATGGAGGAGCGTCCCAGCCACTTCCCCAGCAACAACCCCCCCACATGATGTACCCGCCACAGATGCTCTACGGCGCGCCCCCGTCGTATGTGCAGCCGCCGCAGCCCCAGTCGTATCCGTGGGCCATCATGGGTGGCAAACCCATCGACGCGCTGCTTGTCGAGTTGCACACGAAAGTGGACCACTTGATTCGCCTTGCCCCAGCACCGTCGTCGTCGGTGCTCACGTTCACGGACGCTGCGCAAACGGTGCGTGGCGTCGAGCGGCTCGTGAGCGAAAACGAGCGGCTCGTGCACCAAATTGGCTTGCAAAGCCAGCAAGTCCGTACGGTTGAAACCAAATGCGACGACCTGCAAGCGTCCATGGCCAAGCTTCAAGCCGAGAAGGCACAGTGGAAAGCCGCCGAGACGCTGCACCAAGCCGAAGTCGCCAACTTGGTCGCAGCCAAGCAGAACGCCGAGCAAAAGGTCAGTCGGCTCGAGCACGACGTCCAGCAACTCCAGCAAGCGTTCTATCAAACACGGCAGACTTCATGTACGACCGTCGGCTGTGCTTGGAGCGATTGTTGCATCTTCTCGGTTGTTGCATGGAATTGTTTTCCCGACGTGGTTGCGACGTTGGTGGAGATGGTTTCGTTGGCGGCGATGAATGGTGATCGAGTATGTGTGATTCATTGTAGCGGACCAGGATGCAAGGGCCATGGAATTGCGCATGGAGAGGGACGGCCGCGCGAGAGCGGAGACGGCGCTCGCCAACGAAACGGCGGCGCGGTCCCTGGCAGAGCAAGAATTGAATCTGGTCAAGAAGCAGTCGGTCAATCTCGTATCCCTCCATACGTCGGAACTGCAGTCGCTACGCGTCACGCACGAACGAGAAGTCGCCCAGCTCGAAGACGCGCATCGTCAGCACATTCAAGCGTTGGAAGCGGCAGCTGCCCAGCAAGCCCAACAGGTAAGCGCGACGAGCTCTGTTTTCCATTCACGATTCAACGATCCAGGTGCCGTCCGTGGATGTCGAGGCGCTGCACACCCAAGTGGAGCAGTTGCGAGCGTCCATGGAGCACTGGAAGGCGCAGGCGACGGCCGCGGCCGTCGAAGTCGAAGCGCTTCAATCCGAGAAAGCGCTGCGTATCGAGCGGATTGCCGAGCTGGAGCAGATGCAAGCGTTCCATGCGAATGCGCGCGAAACCGAAGTGAGTGCGTTGCAGGCGCAGGTTCGATGACTTTCTCGAAATGCTGCATCGATTCACATGCGTAAATGTGACTAGATGGCGACATTGCAAGCGCAGATTCATGCGACTGGTCCCGCGCCCGCAGCGACCGGCAACGGAGCGCAAGGAGAATGTGACCATTGCGCCGCGGCGGATGCGCGCGCCAGCCAGGCACTCGCCGACGCCCAACTGAAGGAAGAGTCGGCGCGGCAAGCGCTGGAAGCTGCCGAGGCGCTCAAGAAGGAAGCACAGGAGTTGCTGCTGGAAGCGCCGCCACCGTCGGCGGTCGCGCCGAATGTCGCCGACTTGTTCAAGGATATGGTGAACGAGATCTATTATCGCTTCCAGGATATCTTTGACGAACGAGATGGCCTCGAGGGCAAGCAAGTACTAAAGGAGATCAAGGCGGTGCTCAAGCAGAGTACCAAGGAAGTCGTGGCCAAGGTCGACGGAGCCCCTGCGTAGAGTAAAGCTAACATGGCCGATGGCAGCCGACATAGCGAATGTCAATGTAAAATGAGGAAAACACATTGAACCACTTAATGCGACGCAATGCCGTTCGCCTGCGCACGCGTCAAGTCCAATGGCTCCGACTTGAGCTGCAAGAAAATCTGCTTCATGCGCGTCAAATCGACTTCGTCCGCGTCCGCCGCGGCCTTGTTGTTGTCCACTTCACCTCGGGCCTTGGCCTCGACGGCAAGTCGCTTGGCTGTCTTGGACTTGTGCGATTCCAACTCGACCAGGCTCACGACACGTTCCCACGGGTTGTCGTTGGTCAAGTCCGCCGTGAGTTTTTCGATCGTCGCTTGCTCTTGGGTACGGTTTGCTTGCACCTTCGAGTCACGGAGGCGCTGGCGTTCCGTCTTGAATTGTTCCATGGCGGCGAGTGCCTTCACACGGTTTTCTTCGCCGACCTTCTCGTGCTCTAGTGCCGTTTCCGCAATCTTGCGCTCGTATTCCGCTTGAAATTCCCTAGAACGATTTCGCATCAGCGAACTACGAGATCGCGGGAGCCATCTCCGTCTCCAACGACGCTTCTCGTCCTCTCATGGAGATCAACAACGAGCGAAGGCTTCCCCGCATGAGGAACAGAACCAGATATACGTACGCCAAGGCAGGGTTCTGCTGGTCGAAGGCGACGCCGTCCATGATGGGTGTGCTGTGGAGGGGCAGTGGTCGAAAGTTGATTTGATCCGCTTTCGGATACCGAAACGACTTCGTGTTCCCCACAGTTCCACTTGACTTGATATTTGTATGCACTTTGTTATCCGGACGTTTTCTCCAAGATTTTTGCGCCTCATGATGCTGTAAGCGGGCGGCACTCGCGGCGTCGAGTCGGCGCATGGCGGTGGCCTTTACATGCCATAAAATATGATCAAGGTATCAACCACCATAATGGCATTGCCCTCGTAGCGAATCTCCGCCATCCGTGGTAGAGTGACGCCGAGAATGACTCCCGACGGCCCTTCGATCAACGGGTTTGGTACGCCATGGCGCCACATCCCGCATGCATGACCTGCGCATTCCCCTTCATCGTCAGCATGGTAGAAAGCCGATCGGCGTCGCCAACACCGATCGATCGCCCTCGCTCCTCCATGCACTTGACCGTTGAAGCACCAAGGGATTGGAAGGTATATTTAGCCACCTTGACACTGCCCTTCGCACTCTGACTCTGGCGCCCTGATCACGACACAACGAAATGAAGCGGCGCGAGCAAGGTTTCGACAGTAACACGCACAACCAAAAGCTGCCAGAGTACAATGCACTGGCGGACCACAACCTGCGCCACTTTTTCGAGAACCGCAAGCTACAGCACCACTTGTATGACGTGGGCATGATCGACAAGGCTGGCCGCGTCATCGATCCCGAGAAACACAAGGGCAAACTCGCGATCCTTCAGCAAGAATTCAAACACGCGGAAAAAGCCGAATTGCTTCGGCAGCGCGAGGAAGAAGAGATTCGGCGCCGCGTCCAGCTGCGTCGACATGCGGCGCTGAACGAAGCTCGCAAAGAGGAAAAAATCAAGAAGATCAAGGAAGATCGCATGCTCACCAAGCAAATCGTGGCAGCGGCCAGGGAATATGCAGCAGCACCGCCGCCGTCGTCGTCCAAATCCACGTCGTCGCTGTCGGGACCGCGGTCTTGTCTATCGTCGGGAGGACGCAGTAACAACTCGGGCTCGTTTTAAGTATTATCGTGGTGTATGGCACTGTTCGGAGCACAGGTCTTCCATCGCTGAGATTCCCTGGTGTGCAGCTTCAGTGCCGCGCTCGACCCAATACTCTTCGAACGCTCGGGAGACGAACGGGAAAAATGCTCGAACACGAGAGGTCTGGGTGTAGAGTGTTGTCGGAGCGGAAGAGCTTAACCTTGGAGGAGCGGAGTAGGAGCAGATTTCGTCAACGACAGCAAGGGACCGAAAGGACAAATTGGCGGATTGAAGGCGAAGCGTCTTGTCCACGGGATCGCACACGGATTCCTCGTACACGTACGAGTAATGCGTCCCCAGGACCCTCGTTACCCATGACGGGACATTGGCGGGAGTGCACTTGCCCAAGCGCGCCGTGTGGAGACACCCTTGCTCGTCGAGGAAGCGGGAGATCACCTCCATCTTCTCCACATGCGGGAGCATGGGATGGGGATACTTTCGCCAGAACGCGGCAGACACGACCTCCCACGGGTATGCGAAGACATGCTCGGACCGCTGCACGCGTCCCATGAACGTCGAAAGATAATGCGGCGGTTGGAAAAAATACTTTTTGTCGCACACACGAGAGAAAAACATTTCGCGACTTGAACGGTTTTTGTACAAGATTTCAAATGAATTTAAAATATCTTCGCCTCAACACAATGGGATCGACGGAGATGGCGTAGAGAGGGTGCCCGTGGATAGAATGAATTGGGATACAAAGGCAAAGGCTTCTGGAGCTCTATTCACGCTCCTGTGCGATACACGGCTCCTGAACTTTTGTGTGAACACGAATAGCGAAAGTAGCACAAACTGCTATATTTTAAATTCATTTTGAATACGCCGTCACTCTGCAACCCTGGAATGGACTGTCGAGCCAACAAGCCAATTGTTCCGCGTGTGTTGCGACCTGCTACGGGCAAGGAGTCACCTGCGCTGACTGCAGAGCAACCATGGCGTCCTCAACGTCATTGTCGCCAAGTCCAAACAATCGAATCCTCATGCGGTTTGATGCCGCACACAGTGGAAAAAAGTGAATTTAGAAATTGGAGGAGTGTCTTCGTGCCGGATTTAATTGTGCATGGTTTTGGGGGAAAATTTGTGTGTGCTCGGTTAAAAATGATAAATTTCGGGATATTTTTGCACGTGGGAATGTCTTGCGTTGTGACCAAGCTCCGTTCAAAGCAAGTTACGACAGCGCATCCGCCTAGTGAAATGCGCACCTCGCAGCGCAATGGAGGGGACGTGAGTTTATTTTGCACGGAGTGCCTTCGAGGGGAGTGGGCCCCAACTGTGCACAAACACGCATTGCTTTTATCTCGTTTGGAAAATCGGCACTGCCGTTGATCACCCTGCTTCGTATGGACTGCTCGAGTTTCTTTTCCCGGTATTGTGAACTTGTATGAAAAAACGATGAAGTTTTGAGAAAAAAAATTCGACCGCTACCCAAAATTACTTGGAAATTCTAAAAATATTACGCAAAGAAAATCGCCCAAACCATCACAGTTTTTTCCAAATCGACAAAATGGAGATGCCATTGATTTTGCAAGCCGTCGCCTCCAATTAACCCAAGTCGACCACCCACCGCGCTGCCACTGCAATGTTTCGATCCATCCGCGTCCTTCGGCAGTCGGCGCGATACCTGCGACGCCATCCAAACGCATCTCGAGCGCCCACCATGAACATGAAAGGTCCTCTAGGAGGAGGGATGGGTCGATTGAATGCTGCTCGCATGCTCTCCGCCTCCGCCGTGGACCTCATCTTGGACTGCTGCCAACATCAAGCCAGCGATCTGCGGGTCCAAGCCTTAGAGTTCCACACATTGCAGGACGATGATGGCCGATAACATTCAATCCACGACTCGATACCTTGCACTTCTCGTCCCTTAGCACTCGTAGATCCAGTGGATGTGCCATCCGTCCTCCTTCAAAACGCGTCCATGCTCATCGAGATGCAACAAAGTATTTCATTTGTTACGTAGGTTGCTCAAGTAAGAAGCGGGTGTCTACAGTGATGAGGGTCCACCTAGCACCCCAGCGCCGCCAACGCGACGTTGGGGAGCGGATTTTCACGCCACCACCGCAGACTTGCCTCTCCCCCGATAGTCTATAGATATGCTACCACACATCTGACACTTATTCTTGTTGCACGGGGAATTCGAACACGACGTCCTTGGAGGTCAACTTCTTGTAGACGGTGGCGAACGTATCCAACTTGGTTTCGACGTTCACTTGGTCCTTGGGGTCCAAATAGACCTTGAGGAGCTTCGACCCATCAAGACGCACGCGGGTGCGCTTGCCGACGATTTCGGTGGGGTACACCAAGTCCTATAGTCACAAACAACACATGGAGAGAGTCAGCATGAGGCATGGGAAGGCTAACCCCCAGAGGCCATCGCGCACAAGACAAGGACGACGTCATGAGGAGAAACGTACGTCGAGGATCGCGTCTTGCACGGCAGTCAAGGTGCGGCTGCGAGCACGGGGGGCGCTCACGTTGTGGCCGCGCGAGTGGCCCTTGCCCAAGATGGTGCGTTGGGCAATGATCACGACGTGGCGGCCAGAAAACTTCTTTTCCAATTCGCGGACGAGGCGAGCTTGGATCTTGTTGAAGTTCTTCAAGAGGCGGAAAGGCACAAAGATCACGATCGCCTTGCGGCCACCGGGCACGTCCACTTGCTTGGCGGCCGTGATGTACAAGTCCTTCAAGTCGGCCTTGATTTCGGCGGCGGAGTTTTCCAACGTCACCAATTCTTGGGCAACTTGCTTTTCGAAGTCATCGGCGACTTGGCCAGCGGGCTTCACGATCTTGGAGGTGGTGGCAACCATTCTTACTCTTGAGCAAAGGAATAATGCCGCGGGTCGGCCGGGTGGCTGCCGTGATTTGGCTGGTCGGGGGCTCGATTCGCTTTTGATTGGATAAAACTCGTTAAGTGCGACGGGATAAGTACGCTATATAATCATTTTGATTGGTTGATTTACATCAAATTCAAGCAAATAATTGGCTGAAACACCAACCCAAAACAGGGTCCGTCCGGATTGTATCCGTATCAAATCGCATGCACAGCGCCGTCCGCGAAACGCTACTCTTCGTGCTCGCGGGTGTCCTCGAGATCGGCGGTGGCTACGGCGTGTGGGTGTACGTGAAGAACAGCGATCAAGCGTCACCTAGCCAAATTCTGTTTGCCGTCATGGGCTCGATTGCATTGGTGGTCTATGGGTGGGTCCAGAGCCTTCAAGCCATCGAGTTCGGACGACTGTTTGCCGTGTATGGAGGGTACTTCATCTTACTCAGTCTCTTGTGGGGATGGGCCATTGACGGCAAACGGCCCGATGTTGGAGACTGCGTTGGCTCCGGCATTGCGTTCGCGGGCGTACTTGTCATGTTGTACTGGCCCCGATGACCACACAAGTCCACGAGATCAACCCGACTTTAGCAAGGAGCTCCGTGTATACCCACATTAAGCGGTGAATTCTGTGAGATCACTGCTTGATCAAGGGCTCATAACGAATGCGGGAGCTCACCGCGCGCGGCGGAAGAGAAGTCAGTGCTGTCAACTCGATGGGCTTGGAAGGAGTTGGCAACGGGTCATTCACCGACTTGTTGTGGGGCAAGAGCGCAGTCACAACGCACGCCACGACAGACACTGCTACCAGTGGAGAAGCCTGTCACGTCGAAATTGTGAACTGAAGTACCTGTTAGCAAGAAGAACACGACGATAGCAACTCGATTCAGCCACAATGTAAACATGACGCACGAACTGTCCTGTGCCGGCGACAATGGCTGAATGCACAGACGTTCTTTCAAAGGTTGGTGCATCACGGGCGTCATGGCGATGCAAGCGGTTGGCGACTGACTGCGTCGCGTGGGCAAAGGCAGAATGACTGGAGCAGCCTCACGACGGTCACCAGCAGCAAGCGGTGCATTCTCTGACAGAATCGTCCAGTTTATAGCGGATGCAGCGGCCCTGTCTTGACCAGATATCGGACGCAGCACGAAGCGAGCGACATCACACTGTTGCGCATGCGCACCCTGACGGAAGGGTGGGCGAATCGACATCGCTCGAACGATCCTCATGATAATACTTGTTGAGAATTTTGTGTCGTTTTCACGTCGGTTCTTTTTTCACGACACAAGTCGGCGTGCAGAAGAAGCGCTCTTCGTCTGGCGGTATCCATGGCGCTGGCCCTGCACCAGGCGTCGCTTGAGTCATGGAGCTTGTCCAGCATCTCGAGGACCATTCCTTCGACAGACCCATGTTGTGGCACTGATCGCGCTTCTGTTCCTGGCATCGCTGAATCCCGTGCCGCATGAAACGTTGTCATGCTCGTCCACAGCACTTGCCCGTTCGCCACGACTCGATCGCGAGTGGTGCTCGTCGCGGTCCATCACGTTGAATACTCGTTCGAATACACACAAGGGCTCGATTGGCCTCCAAGGCGTGTTGCCTCGTATCGTAAATCCCATTTCAAGAGCGATTTCGTGGCACTCTCAAGCTTGTCGCCCAGCGCTTCGAACGGGTCGGACGATGGCGCGCCAAGACTCGATGCAAGGGTTGCGATGGTGATGTTGAAGCCTTTTGCAGCGACTGCGGCACCGTGGTTGCCATGAATTGCATCAACACTTCTCCGACGTGATTTCGACGCGGATCCTCTTACGGGCGGTGGCACGACAGGCATGTCGTCGTCGATGATGCAAGAGAACGCGACAAGCTCGCCAAGCGCGACAGTGGCCATCCGTTCTCGACAAATGGGGTGGCATCATATGGGTCCATCTCTCATTTCACGTCCGCAGTGCCCACCCTCCTTGTTCGAGCGAAAGCCCTGCACCGTCGACTCACGTGGCTGCGTGCCGCCTTGGTCCACGTCCTCGTTCGACCTCGCTGTGCGTTTGGTGAATCAAGGCGCGAAACACCGACACATCCACCGCAGGCGACGCTTTCACCGGCTCGTACAGCCATGTCGGTCCTTCCACGTCGTGGAATGCCTTGGCCCTCGCATGGCTTGCCCACACGGCTGGATGTATCGTTATTTTCGACCTCGATCTGAAGCGTATTGCTTGACCAACGATCTCCATCGCATGTTCGCCATGACAAGAAAGTATTCGAGTGAACGATGCCCGCCCGCCCTCGACCGGTGCAACAACCACATCGACAAGACCAACCCACGTTGTATCGAACGACGTATGATGCCTACATGGTCGACGCCAAGATGTCGTCGCACGCGGCATGGAGCCGGCGCGTTTTGTCTTGGATGCGCTGGAGAATGGCATCTTCGTCGCGTTTCATGTCGTCCATGGCGCGGAGGAGACTCCCAATGTGTCCATCCATTTCTTCTTCGAACGTGCGCGCGTTGCGCGGTTCGCCCCGTACAAATTTGTGCATCGCCTCCATGCACCTACACACCGTGTATTTGTCACGTGGCGGCGCCCGAGGCGTCGTACTCGAACAGGTGCAGCGACAGGTTGTCGACGGCACGTTGGTTCACCGGGCCATTTCGTGGATGCAGTTGCCGCTTGAGCCGGTACTGCGTTTGGATCAACTTGACGGCAGCTTCCCGACGCTGCTTGTCCCAACGAGTCTTGTCGATAATGTACTTGACGCGCGATTCGTTGTCGGTGAGCTCGAGCGCGCCAAAGAAAATCGACTGCACCAGCGACAAGATGAGGAGCCCTCCGAGAATGCCGCTACAGGTCAGGAACCCTCGGCCCGCATAGGTCACGGGAGCGTAGTCGCCGTACCCCACAGACGTCTACAACAAGCACACGGGTCATGTAGATGCCGGCGTCCGGCACCATGGAAGTGGCGTCAAACAAGTGAAGACGTAGCGATAACGTACGATGGAAGCAGTGGTCATCCAGACTGCCGTCCAGTAGTTCAACAGGACGGGCTGCGCGGGCCTACAGGTGGATGCTCACGAACGTCCCAGCAAGATGCACGCATACACTTCGAGAATTCGAATGATGGCGGCGGTGACGAAAGTGACAAATACGAGGAGCGGCGCCTACACGCATGACGTCGGTGGGTCCATCATGCATGGCGGCGACGTGGTAGACATACCACGAGGCGGGCCGGTTGGGTGCTGAAGATGGCCTTGAAATGGAAAAACGGACTCATGGCATTGACATTCTTCAACGTTCCTGTGGGTACATCCATCGACATGAACTCGGCATGGACATCCACGACTTAAAGAGCTGCGTACCGATGAAGGCTGCCCATTGCGAGTACAACGGCGACGAGCTGCGCATGTACCGACCAAACAAGTAGAGGCGCAGCACCATGAACACACCTAGAGCGGACCGCATGTAGGGAATTCCGTCACGGACAGCGCGGTTCAAAGAAGACGATGGAATTGTGTACCAAAGACATCGTAGTTGTAGCTGTACGACAGGTAGCACGCGTTATCGTGGATTGTGGTCGTGAGGTTTTTGGGATGACGACAGATGGCATTCTCGTTCGAGTCAAGGGAGTGGCGAAACTGGAGGATCGGAAGCGATCCAGACAGGTACGGGGGAATATGGAACCCACACACGATCAACTCGAGAAGGAGCACCGGCCAAAAAACAGACAGCATGGAGGCGGTGGGTGGAATAATGTTTTGCAGCTTGTAGATGTTCGTGTGGGACTGGTACCGGCACACGATCAGTATGAGAAGAATCGCCGTCGAAATCGACACCACTGTCTTCAGTGCCTCCGACAGAGGCGTCGACGAGGCGTCGGCTACCATTAACACTTCGTTCTCGGCCAGCATCAGCACAAGACCGACTATCGCCACGACGAACGCCCAGATCTCAAACAGCTTGCGATGACGGTAGTTCTACAACACGACGTGTGATTCTTGCGCCACGATGCGAGCAAAAGTGCATCGCAGGCTTACCTTTTTCAGATTGTGAATCACTTGCAGGTTTTGAACAGTCTGGTTCTCGCTAAACAGTTTGCGAACCGACGGCGACTGGAGCTGCTTCATGTACTTCTCCGATCCAGACACGACAGGGGATGCCGTTCCGCCAAGTTTACCCTTGTGCTTTGACGTGGTCGGGCTCATCTCGACCGATGGGTCCATCGTCGCCGTGTCACCTGCGTCGAGGGGTCGTTGTTGAAACAAAGAGCCGCCTTGTATTTCTCAAGGTTCTGTATCTAACACAAATATACTAAATATATATGTACTATTTAAATGGATTTATATATATACATATTTATATATTTGTATACTAGTATATAGTTAACTATGGAAATAAAACCACTACACGACCAGTGCAGTATGCATTAATCTAAGATATTCTATAGGTACACAACAACAGAAAATATCGCGTAGCCGCATCCGGCGTTTTTATCCGAAATTTGTCGCCGCAGCGCGCGCGCAATCGCCATGGACGACAGGTTGGGTCAGTACAAGCCGGCATTGGCGGCATACTTCGAGATCCATCCCGGCCCCGAGGTCGATATTCAGACCCTGCTGAGTCGGTGTCCTCAATTCGCGACCCTCCTCATCCAGAATCCGACCATGTGCCTTCCTGTACTCGAGTCGGCGTTTGTCCAACAGGTGTCGACGTCGATGCCGCCGCAGCTACAACTGACCAACGTGCCACCGTGTCTGAAGAAGCGCGTGAGTGCATTGCGCAGCAAAGAAGCTGTTGGACTCATGGGGGTGGAGGGCACAGTCGTACGGATTGGATTGACGCGAATGCTGGAGAAAGTCCGACAGTTTGAATGCGCGAAGTGCAACACGACGTGGGAAGTCACGTCAAAACCCGAAGAACACAATCGCATGATGGTCCCGGTACGACTGAGCTTCCTTCCGCCTGCTTGAATGCCCTGTTTGATCCGTCGAGGGTATGCGTAGCGCGCTTGCATCTCTCGAGGAGCATGCAAGTCGACAAATATCCGCGAGATCAAGGGAAGCAAAGTGTGCGTCGACTACCAAGTACGTCGCGCATTTCTCCATTAAGAATGGAAACATCAGAAGCACGATTCTTGAAAACCTTGTGCCACCTCCGACAGACGATCAAGCTGCAAGAGCAAGTGTCCAAGCTTGGCGTCGGGTCCATTCCGCGCTCCATCATGGTCATCTTGGAAGGTGAGAAGATGAGGTCATGAGGAGTGTGCTCATCAAATGTGTTGCGTAGGCGCATTGGTGGACAGTGTCAAAGCAGGCGATGACGTCGTCGTCGTGGGGACATTGATCAAGTGCTGGAAACCGTGCATCAAGGACGTCCGCTGCGACTTGGTCGGCTCCATGATCTCTGTCCAGTCGCGTGACTTGACACTCTAAAGGAAACCGTGATACAAGCGAGTAGCATTCGACTCAAGAACGTGAACGGAACGGCCAGGGCGCTTGTGACGGACGACGTGCGCCGCGAGTTTGAGCAGTTCTGGCACGATTACCGCGAGCATCCGTTGGAAGGGCGAAATGTGATCTTGGGCAGCATTTGTCCCCAAGTGTACGGGCTCTTCATCGTACGAGCGAACGCGCTCGTGGTGCGTGTGACGTCACCACACATTCGACAGGTGAAATTGGCCGTCGCGTTGACCGTCGTCGGAGGCTGCTCGTACGTGGATGGGACTGGCATGAAGACCCGCGGCGATTCCCACATGCTGCTCATTGGCGACCCCGGAACAGGTAAGCCTGGTCCATTCTCGAGCCACTGTGCTATCGACCAAGTGGCACGTGGCTCGACGAGGGGGTTTCAACGCCGTGGTTCTCGCTTGGCATGAACTGACGCTTGTTTGTTTCGATGAAAGGCAAGTCCCAGTTCTTGCGGTTCACTGCCGAACTGAGTCCGCGGTCTGTCTTGACCACAGGGATCGGCACAACCAGGTACGTGGAAGCGGAAGCGTTTGCTTGAGGCGAGTCATTCGCCACTGACGTGGATCACGACGTGTAGCGCGGGCTTAACGTGCACGGCTGTCAAAGATGGCGGCGAATGGATGCTTGAAGCCGGCGCGCTCGTCCTGGCCGACAGGTGCTCTATCGTGATGCGTGCGACATGTTGGTTTGAACCGTGGAAGGACGGCGTAGAGGCGTGTGCTGCATCGATGAATTCAGCAGCATCACAGCGCACGACCGCGCGTCGATCCACGAAGCGATGGAGCAGCAAACGTTGAGTGTCGCCAAGGCAGGGCTTGTGTGCCAACTCAACACGCGCACGACTGTCTTTGCAGTCACCAACCCGAAAGGCCGGTACGATCCATGCCTGGGCTTTCAACTCGACGGTGCTCGTTCCAGCAGATGCTAACAGTTGATGGAGTGGCTCCACAGATATGACCCGAACGCAGACGTGTCGGTCAACACGGCGATTGCGAGCCCGCTGCTGAGGTCTCGTCCAGGTCAAGTGGCTTGTCGTCGGTAGCTCACGATGATGGGCTGTGTAGTCGCTTCGACATCATTCTGGTGCTTTTGGATACAGTGCAAAAAGAGGCAAGTCGTTGAATATTCCCGTGCTGGATGTGCATCCATCGCTGCAGATCGAAGCCCGTAGTCGAGCTAAAGTGCAGTCTGCGATGTGTAGTGGGACGAACGGGTGTCCTCGTTTATCTTGGACCAGGCGGCGGCGTCGGCCGAGTCTTTCCGCAGCAGCCCTCGTACGCCGCTCTCTTCACGTTGCGTTATTGATCCATTGCATAGGTGGCGACGGCGCACCACGTGGGCCACAACGCCCCGATCGAACACGGTGGTCCATTGCAAAGCTGCAAGCGTACTTTTGCTACGTTAAAGTGCGTCGTGCGTCCTACGATCTTGGGTCGGGTTCACGACCGTGGTGTGCAGGAGACGTTCCAACCTCGCTTGTCCCGCAGCGCCATGACTGTGTTGCAGCGCTACTACCAACTGCAAGTACGTCATCACCGTTGCATGGGTCGACGAGGTCGCATCTCTGGAACGCGTAGCGATCCTCGGACATGCGGAATGCCGCGCGAACAACAATTCGGCTCCTGGAGAGCCTCACGCGGATATCCCAGGTGGATATTACGTTTCTCGATCGATACGATCTCACGTGGGACGTAGGCGCATGCCAAGCTCATGTGCCGGTCGGAAGTGTCGGTGCAGGTAGAAGTGGAGTGTGGGCCGCCGACCGTTTGCCAACCGAAATATTGGCTGCGACGACTTGTAGGACGCCGTCGTTGCTGTATACATCACGGAAACGTCGAAGTCGGCAGACTCGATGCTCGGATACGAGTCGGTGCTCCACAAGAGTTTCAGTCCCGACCCTACGACCGAGTACTACCAGCACGAAGAGGTCATTCTATCCCAGTTGTCGCTGACCGAGCTCTCGACGAAACCTCCTCCGCACGACCGACCCACCACGACGGGCGACTGCCAACGCCCGAGCGTTGACGAGGTGCGTATGCCGCGCGCCAGCAACGAACGCGACTTGCATCACTATATGGTTGCGTGGACCGCATAGAGTCGGAAGGATCGACCTGCGCGAGTCGACGTTCCGAATCGATGGAGCCAAGCTGTGGACGCCCATCGTAGCCAGGTGCGTGCCACGTACTCGTTGTCCATCGTTCAAGCCGGTATCGTTTCGCAGCGACCAACTCAACACGACGAGAACCCACCCACGGCGCAGTCGCGGTTCACCTCCAAGTGGAAGAAGTATCGGAGAGATGCCTCGAGCATGTTTTAACTTGATTCAGTCGTATATATACTTGGGACCTCGCAACGGATATCCATGGCGACAGGAATGCACGCAACAGCACGAAACGGGACAAGCAATCGGTGCCGCCACTAGCATGGGAAACGTATCGATGTATAGACGCATACTACATGACAAGGGCATGACGGTCGACTGAATCCTCGTCAATGTCTGTTCATTTTGGCGCATGCCGATGATGCCCAAACGTCATCGACGTGAGAACCGGCAGACACGTTGGAAGGCTGCATCGTCGCGCCGCTCTTGGGACGCATTGCGAGGCACGGAAGGTCAAGCCTTTTCCGTCGCATGCTGCGAGTTCGTCCCGCCAAGGAAGGAGCCGTGCCGCGAGATCGGTAAACCTCTTATAATTAATATTTCCAAGTGATGCGATATGCATTTGGAGAGGTTGTCCCAGCTTCCGACATGTTGCGAGGCACAATTCGAAGTGTCGAGTCAACTTGAGGAGGAGATCTGCCGACGAAGATGGCGAAGTACCCGAATGGCTTCCGCGAATGCTGGGGCGACTATCGCGAAGAAGAAGACTTGGAAGTCGCGACGCAACCTCTGTACGCGCACCAGAAGTCTCTCCCGAAGCTGCCTGTGCCCACTTTGGCTGACACTTGTGCGTTGTACTTGCAGACTGTTCGACCGCTCACGACGGACGCAGAGTTCGACGCCACGAAAGCAGCCGTTGATGCGTTTCTCCGAGGTCCGTTGGGTCCTACCTTGCAGAAGCGCTTGGAGGAACGGGCGGCATCTCGTCCAAACTCGTCGTACTTGGCGGAATGGTGGAACACATTGGGGTACCTTCATGTCCGCGACCCCGTTGTGTTCAACGTGAGTTACTTCTTTCACTTCAGCGACAGCGTGCATCTCGCCCAGCGCTCACAAGTGGGTCGCGCTGCATCGTTGGCAGTGGCATCGATGGCATTTCGCAACCAAGTTGCCACTGGCACACGCCCACCAGAGACCCTTGGCAAGGCCAAGACTCCGATGTGCTCGACCGCGTACAAGTACATGTTTAATGCGTGCCGTATTCCCCGTCGCGACGCCGACTCTTATCGGATCTACGACCCATCCACGAACCACCACGTTGTCGTGATGCGCCACAACAAATTCTACAAGGTCCATCAAGGCGCAACTCCACTTTCCTTCTTGGAATGGACGTTCATTCTGACGCACATTTTGAATACGGCTGGATCCAAGGAGTCTTCCATCGGTGTGCTGTCTTCCGAAGACCGCGACGTGTGGGCTGATGCGCGCGCGCAACTCTTGACCGATGGCAACGAAGCCACTCTTCGCGACATTGAGTCGGCCGTGTTCTTGCTTTGCTTGGACGACGAAGCCCCCACTTCTCGCACGGAAGTTTCGCACGCGCTGTGGCACGGCAATGGGCGGAACCGCTTTTACGACAAGTGTATTCAACTCATCGTGTTTGGCAACGGGAAAGCAGGGTTACTGGCAGAGCACTCCATGTTGGACGGGATGGCGATGTCCGTCTTTGCCGATTTCATCCTCACGGGGCTTCGCAACCAAACGATCGACCTCGGCGACTCGACGCTGACACATGCGGCGCTCGTGGCGAGACTACCGGCGGTGACGCAGCTCCAGTTCCATGTGTCGACGGCGACATTGAAAGCCATTGCCGCGGCGGAGCGCACGTTTGATGCGACGGTGGCCGCCCACGAAGTGCACGTCGAGTCGTTTTTTGGATATGGCCACCACGCGATCAAGACGTTCCAGTGCAGCCCAGACGCATATGTCCAGCTTGCAATTCAACTAGCCGTACGTCCTGGAATTTGCGCATTGAGATGCACGATGGGATGACGGGATGCATGCCTGAGCAGGGCCGAAAGCACTGGGGCAAGGATGTGGCTACATACGAAGCGACTCAAGTCCGAACGTTTTTGCACGGGCGAACTGAAACCACGCGCAGCTGTTCGAGTGCGACCAAGGCGTTTGCGGATGCCATGGTGCACACTAGTCCCGTGGACCAGCTCCAGGTCAAGGTGCGTAGCATTGCACGACGATGGTTGAGCGCGCCGCGTTCGTTTGGCACGTGCTTGAAGCCTCACGTCCACGCGTCTCCATCGTGCTGACGTAGGCGGCGCTGTGTCGCGATGCGTGCGCCGCACACGTCAAGTACATGAAGGTCGCGGCGCAATCGAAAGGCGTGGATCGACACTTTCTTGGACTGCGCTTGTGCATGCAGCCTGGCGAGTCGGCCGCGATCTTTGACGACCCCGTGTTTGCTCGTTCCAAGTACTGGCAGGTACAGCAACGACAGCGTACCAAGGTGCGCTCTGATTGCACCATGGCGCTGTAGATTTCGACGAGCCATTTGACCCACGAGCTGTTTGACGGGTGGGGATGGGGCGAGGTTGTGCCCGATGGCGTCGGGATCGCGTATAGTATCAAGAGGAACTCGGTGCACTTCAACATTGCGTGTCGAAAGCCCACGGACGGCAGCGGGCTGTCGACGGCGCGTGCATTTGGCCATTTGCTTGAAGAGAGCTTGCTCGAGATGCGCCATGTGCTGGAAGCGGACCAAGCGCTCAAACTGCCAGCCAAGCTGTAGAAGAAGGCTACGTATAACGCAGACCGAGCGATATATCGAGTGGTCGTCGAAATCGATCGAGTGCTGCCGTGTTTCGACTGTGCGAGTCTCAGTGGTTCCTCGATCGATCGGTCGGTCTCCCTCGATCATCGAGTCTGCGTCGTCCGCAACGAGGCAAGCAGACCCTTCCTTTCTACACCGCCGTGACGATGTGCGGAATCCACAGAGAGCGGTGAGCATGACGGCGGAGTCGTCCCTTCGGCCAGAGATCATCAACTACATTCGAGCGCAAAGCAATATGCATGGATGGTTGGATGGGGGCGTGTGCGAGCGCGCTCTGCCATGAATGCCCCGGTCGTTCGTCATGTGCTCGTTCTTGGCCCGTTGCAGGCCATGGCGACCGCGCCATCGATGGATTCGATTGCGGTCGGGGAAACTCGACCACTGCATGTGCTTCAATCCCCGACTGCCTCGCACGAACACGCCCCTTTTCCATGCATATTGCATGGTTTGCGATGGCTCGGGTCCGCCGCGATCGGTCGGCACGCCGGTCGAGTCGGGCCATTTTGGTCCAAGTGGCAACCACCCCCGTCTTGTTCACGTCATCAACGATCTGTACTTGTGGCATCCGTGGTGCGAGCACAACGAATTGACTTGGATGAATCAGCCGCTTGAGCCGCATCGTGTGCCGTCAAATTCACGCGCCGCCCGCGGACGTACACGTCTGTGATGTTGCGATCGTCGCCGAGAAAGAGGAACTTTTGAAATTGGCTGCTCACGTCGTCGTGCGCGTGCGAATCGATGGGGCTGTTGGCCGAGTTCAGGTCCACGACCAGCATGTCGAGCTCCTTGCCCTTGACAAAGTTGCCCACAACGTCGCTCAGCCCAAGGCAGTCGGCGCTGCCGACGGTCGCCAAGTGAAACACTTCCGCGTACGACAAGGGGGCGTGCGACGGAGACGTGAGCGACGTCACTTTGGACGCAATCACGGCATGGCGAATCGCGTCGAGCATGGACGTCGAGTACCCGGCCGCCACGTCTGTTCCAAGGCCGACCTTGACACCTTCATCGAGGAGCTGGCGGACGTTGAGGACGCCGCTCGTCAGCGAAAAGTTGGAGTTTGGACCTACGCAGCATGCTGAGTACACGTCGTAAAGAGGTTTGTCGTGCTGTTGTACAATGAATCATGCTCGCGCCACGGGATTTCAGCAGGGATCGCTCGTCCGGCGTGCACCAGATGCAGTGGGCCATGTACGCGCGTTCGTTGAGGAGTCCATGGCGATCGTATACCTCCACGCAGCGCGTCACAACGATGCTCCCAAGCCAAACACGTACCTCGGCATAGCTCGAACAATCGGGGTGCAAGTCCCGCACCCATTCGATTTCCTTGGAGTTTTCCGACAGATGCGACTGGATTGGTAGCGTGTATGTGTCAGCGAGGGCGGCAAGACCAGTCATGAGGGCCGACGTCGTGCTGGAGAGTGATCAGTCCGCTGCGGGGCGATACATGGAATGCATGCGAGTTCACTCACCTCGGTACAAATCGGGGCGTGATCACAGGTGTAAGGAGCGAGTTCTTCTTGGTGGCTACATACTCGATGAACGACTTGGTGTCGGCCAGGGATCCGTGTGTCGTTTCCGTCAACTCTGGCGTCGCGTTCCGGTCCATGTTGACTTTTCCGAGGTACCCGCGTTGTCCAATGTCGTGCACGATGTCGGCAAGGACTTTGCATGCTTCCAAGTGAATCGTGGCAAAGTACGAGCACGTCGTTGTGCCGTTGAGGACATGGCGCGACACAGCTTTCGTGTACATGTGCTTTGCATATCTACACGCGCAACCATGAGCCAAGACCAAAAACAAAGGAAAACAGTACGTTGGGTCGGAGAATTTCGATTCGTGAGGGAACGTGTATGTGTGCAACCTGCATCCTTGTGATGACACGTGAGTCCAAGAGTCATGAACGTACCAGTTCAAGAGTGGAAGGTGCATGCCCACACCCAAGAAAGAGTACTGGGGAGCGTGGGCATGCCCATCGATGAACCCAGGAACGAGGAGATTTTCTTTGTAGTCGATGAGCTGCATGCGACGAAGGTGAGTTCACGCACGAGCAGACACCACCACGAACCTTGTCGAACACGACGGTATCAAGGGACTGCGTTGCCAAATCCACCACGAACTCAATCGTGCCGTGCTCATTCACGCCAATGAGGCCCGGATTCAGCATCTCGAGGCGTCCGAGGGCGAGCGAGTGTACGACGACTCCTTTGTACGCGGTGATCGGCATCTTCGTCGTGCAGGGAATTCAAAACTGATCACTTTTCGAAGGGACATCCCGTGGATTTGAAAACTTGGAGCGTCGGTATGATTTGGGATTTTTGCTCAAAAATCCAAAAAATCAGGCTATAATTCCCCAAACAAGGTCCGAAAATTGAACAGAATGCGGCGATTTCACCGAATTGCCCCGAAAGGGAGCGAATGGTAGATGTATTGTTCGGATTCATGTCATACAAAACATACATTCTCAATCGCACCCGCGACACGGAAGAGAAATGGGTGCGCATGGGGGGGGGGGCTCGCAACCATCGACTCAACTTTCCATGCACGCAATACATACTAGAGCCGCCCCGTGGCCCAGATGAAGGAAATACTACGTACAGTACTGCAGTCCAGCTTACAAGCACCCCGCCCCTTCATCCTACTACCGTTGCAGGGGGATTCCTCTCTTACCGAAGTCATCGCAAGGGGGAAGAAAACCTGAAGGTATAACTTCCTCCCCCTCATCACCTCGTGCAGTAGAGGACGCTTGATGGATACCATCCGTGCGAGGCTGTACTGGGCGCGAATTCGTTCGACTACGCTCGACGGCGTTGCTGCGCTACATCGTGATGTTGACATGAACGGTGCGGCCCATTCATGTACTGTAATAAAACCATGACAGGGTAAACGACCATCACTTTGACAAAGTTGTCCGGATAAGGAAACGACCATCACGCATACAAGAACGAATCCGGATACGGAGTAGTGGGTTTTGACTCCATCACAAGGAAAGATGTCCACACCGAAGAAGACGCGGCCGGACGGACCCGCGTCGAGCGACGGCGGACGCATCACTATACCCGGGATATGGCAGTTGGTGCTTCAATTCTCTGATCTCGACACGGCGTTCAACTTTGGTGTCATGGTGTTCTCATCGCCGAGTTTATGGGACGTAGCCGCCGACAACGATACATGGGGAGGTCTTATCGAGCAGCACTTTGGCGCAAAGCGCATGTATTACCCTACTGCATGGCTCCCTTCCACGTCGTGCGTCCCGAACTTCCGAGCACAAAAGGATTTCCACCCGTCGGACGCGTACGTGGAGTTTTGTGAAACGTACGGCGAGCGCGCCATGTTTTCCAAAGTCCAAATCCGCCAAGGTGACATTGGACACATTCACGACGTTGACGGGACCCCCCTCGATGGCCTCATGTTTCCCACAAACTATTCTCTCCTCAATACTGGTTCGGGCGCCGCAGCCGCTGTGTTCCGTCGCGCTGGCGCAGATTTGGACGAGTACATCAAAGCATTGCCGGCTCAGACCCACGACACCAAAACCGTCGTGACCCCTGGGTTCGATGCCGGAGTTGAACACTTGATTCATTGCGTTGGTCCGTCTCCTCACACCATCGGGAGCTATCCGCTGCTCTACCAGACGTATTTGAGTGCGTTCGAGCAAGCCCGACGGCGCCACGTGAAATGCATCGCTGTGGCGTCCATTTCGACGGGTGCCCTTGGGTTTCCACTGAACCCGGCGACCTCTTTGGCCATGCGCGCTCTGCGCGACTTCATCAAAACCCATCGATGGAACGCCAAGGTGGCGTTTGTATGCTGGGATGCCGATGTTGCCGCGGCGATGCGCGACGCCAAGGCCGACATCCTTGCAAACTTCAATGCTCAAGCGTACCAAGTGATGTCGATCGTGTAGGAAGGCCATCGTAGGTCACTGCTTCATGTCGATAATACTATTATTTTATTGTTTCAAATCTACGTGCTGTTGTGTGGGGGGACGGGGACGCGTGATCAATGCGAATGACGCGGCTGGTTGATACTGCGTGCCAGTCGCGGACTCTTTCCATGCAGTTGATGCGTGGGGGTCAACGTTTTGTTGCGTCGCGAACGGAACGCAGCTTCCTCGTTTTTAGACGGCTGCATGAGAATGTTCCAAATGGTCGACTCTTGGCTGCGGCGGTTGTCTTCGAGTTCATGGCACTTGTCCACGAGCTTGCGATGCAATTCTTCTTGCATGTCGAGGAGTTCCAATTCCGCGAGGAGTTCGTTCATTTGGTCACACGCTTCGAGCTCGCGCAGGTCCGTTTGAGTGAACGGGTAGAACGCCGGGTCAAACAACTCCTCGTCGGGGACTTCACGCGTGTGGAACTCTTGGTCGAGGATGACAAACCCATCGGCCTTGACGACGGCGGGCGAGTACGGAAGGTTGAGGGACTCAATCACATCGTCCGTAATGGGTGTCTTCCACCCGAGCGACGGATAGAAAGGGGGAGCGAGGACGTTGAGCTTGATGGAAGGCATGTTTGCAGGTCCTAGTGAATCGGAGAATGCCGGTGGGATTGGCGCGCGGCGGCGTCGTTGAACTTGCGATGCTGTCGACCTCGCCGTATGAAAATTGGGCCAATCAGCGATCGACAGAACAATGTCTTACCCAATGAAACGCGCCCATTTAAGTCAACGTCTCCAGGTGGAAAGATCGGTCTTATGCGGCCCGACGGCGGTATACAAAATCCCATATAAAGTGCGATGACCTCGATCCCGTCGCCGCCGCCTATGCACAGATTAGATGGGGTGTGCGCGAGGTGCGACCAAGGGATGCGCACGCAGCAGTGTCTCTGTTCTGCATGCCGCATACGCTCTCTCGCTATGTTGTGAGCTACGAGTCCTGCACGTGTGGCGTGGCGGCATCGCCCTGGACATCCGCGCAGGGCATGGCGCGTGTGTGGGTGTAGATCGGCATTTGTGGTGGCGTGCACGCACTATGGCGAGACCCTGCACGCTTCAATGCCGCCAGGACATGCAACACGCGCGAGTTTGCACGACGCACGCGGAACGGCTCGGACGAGCGCAGTGGAAGGAAGGTGTGCGCGACGGTGCGGGATTGTGGCCAAGTCGAATTATCCGGATGAGATCGTCGGTTATATGTCCAGTGTGCATCTCGGCGCGTTGATTCGCAGAATTTTAGGGTAAAATTCGTTTAACGCATTTGACCTTTGTTCTTCGCGGAAGCGATCCGGATACGGGAGGGATTGACGGAAAGGCATGTCCAGTTCCCGAGTTGGCAACGATGAAACTGAATCCGAACGCGGCGGCGTTCGTGCCTACATTTGCGTCGTGGAGTGCGCCCCAGGCGCCGGCGGCCACAGAAGAAGTGAAATACTGCGACGAATATGAAGAGGATTCGTATGACCCGAACTACTACCCATCTGACGACTATGACGGCGAAGACGAGATTAGTGAACTCCTGGCCGAGATCGAGCGCATGCAGCTCGAAGCAGACATGACCCGCGAGTTGGAAACGCTCAAAGCACAAGGACGTAGTGAAGATGCAGATCTGTGGAACACGTGGATGGCGGGGGCACCGCCACCTCAAGATTTTTCTCACCAGGAAGAAGCCTCGCCGATGTCGTCCTACCACTACCCGTCGACACAACACTACCGCCACGACAACTCGCAATTCCGAAAGAAGACTGCGGTGAACCCGTATTCCTACAACAGTCGAAATGCCTATCACAATAGCAGTCCGCGCAACAGTAGCCCCAAGCATCAACCCCATCACCGACCCAATTACACCAGCCGAGCAATATACCAACCTCGTGCGACCAACTAGCGTTGTGCTGAGAGCAGTGCCCTCTTCGGCGCTCTCAAAGCTAGTTAGGAAGTAAACTGTCAGGTAACCAACTGAATCCCCCGTCGCCAACCTGTCGATCGCACGCATGGCGTTCGCCGCCCTCCTCCACGTTTCGACCGAGTCTATTTTCGTGTCTGCTGTTCCAAAACTTAGTTTTCGAAATCCCCGCGCGTCGTATGCCGCGGAAACTCGTCGACGACGACGTCGTCATGCACCAAACAGCGGGGTTCACAGTGGGCGCTGCACATCGTCCTAGTTCGCAACTTGTACGATCGAAGCATGCGCCAACTGAGTCGTCCTCGACTCAGCGCTTTCTACGAACGGTAGGCCCGCAGGATTGAGCACGTGAACAAGCAGCATCGTATTACAACGCAAATCGACCGACGGACACGAAATCACCGCGCAGATGTGAGCGGTCGGCGGCTCTCGGACGAGGAGAAGGCAGTCGCAGCCCACCACGCGTTTGTAAGCGGCCAAACTCTCATGCAAGATGTCTGAAGGACAATGAACTCTGTAGACGCTAGAGCTTATGGACGGCATTCGAATGCCGCGCGTCGTTGTTCAGCAAAAGCAAACGACCGGCCAAGCCCTGGACTCCATTCGAGGCGGCGGCGCTCAAGACGAGAGAGTCCAGGTGGTCGAAGACCCCATGGTGGCAGTGGACGCCCGATTGATGTCTCTCACGTGTACTGCCACACCGGTCGATGACAGTGGGTGGTGGTGGCAGTCTTGGTTTCATACCCCGACGGAGGTCCGAATCTCCTTCAGCGACATGACGGCCGTCGAGGCAAGCGCGGAATGCCCGTATGCACAAACCACTTCCCCTATCAAGGGATCGCCAGGGGAGCCCGAAAGCACGTCAGTACACGTCGTGAGGATGGACGCACCCAATCAGCAAATGTGGATCCAATGCAACAACGCGGAAGAGCAGGTGCAAGCATTGACTAGCTTTGAGCTCTTACTCAAGTCGGCAAAGCGACGATCTTCGGACCACACGACGCAGGAATGACCTGGGCGCAAGGCCGATGTAGCTTTAGGTTGAAGATGTATGTCGCATGGTCATCGAGTGGATCCTAACGCTGTGCACATCTCGCCCGCCAAGCGCGCACATGAAGGCCCGGACGCGATGCGCCCATCGACTGCCGACTTGGCTGTGTAATTCCATTAAGATATCTCCGTCAGTCAGTCACGCAAACCGCTTCCATCATAATGTAGCGAAATCTAGCGGCCATGAGGAAACTTTCGTGGTGGTCGAGGCCACACGAGCAAGCGATGCATGCAAGCTCATTGTTGTCGACCAGCCGGAGAGTCACGTGGGTTGTGACCAATACCGTCATCACCGAGATCCGAGGAACGGCGCACGTCATTCGTGCACATCGCTGAGCTGCCATTGCAGCAGCAGCGCTACCACGCACACATTGCTCAAGCTCATTTCCAGCAGTGGCGGCGGCTGTGCTTGCCCCCGCGGGAACATGTCCGTCATGTCATGCCACGACCGTATACCGAGGATGACGGTTACTGAAGCGACGTGGCAGTTACATTTGCGATCATAAATCTGTCGCGGCACCGACAACGCAGGCTGTCATGCACTCAATGACGTTGGCAGGTCCAACCCACTGAATCGCAGCTAGATTGTGCTCCGTCCAAGCATTGGTGGGATAGCCATGGAGGGGACCGCCGTCGAGGTGGATCTCGCGGGTTCGAGGTGCGCCAGTTTTGTCCGTTCGAGGAGCTGTAACGCACTTTGCCGTTGCTTGGCAGCTCGTGCCAGCGTTCGGAAACTCGCGACGAGTTGCTCTTGTTCTGCTGTGTTGCTGCACACCATCGTGAGTTGCTGGGGGCGATGCCTCGTGTACGCCACGCACACGCCATAGTACCAGCACGAGCCCTTCTTGGCGAGGTCGTTTTCCATCGCGACCTGCTTCGGGGGCGGCACCTTGTACGTCCACGCAACGACAGACACAACATCTTCCAAGTTCAACGAACTGGTCGGTTGCCCTTGTTTGCGAGGCGAGTTGCCGGGCATGGTCGCCACAGGCGACCACTCCAGTGTTGTCAGGTGGGCATCGATGCCCATCTGCATCATGTCGTACACTTGCCGCCGGGGGTTCAGCACGGGAATTCTCGTCTGACCGTCGATGAGCCGTCGCACCTACAAGTGCAACCTTCGCCAGCGTCGTTGCGTATCCGGCACGTACAAACGAGCGATGGGCCGCGGCGCGCGCGTCGTCTTGGAACGACATGCGGCGAAAGTCCTCGGCCCGCATTGTGCGCTGGATGTGGTGTGGTCGACTGAGTTGGCGGGGCGGCGGGTGATTCGACGCTGGTGACGGCGTTCCCCACTGAAAGAACACGCCACACAAGGAACGACCGTCGATATCACCGTTTGGATGTGTATGGCGACCCTACCGAGAACGACAACGCCTTCGCTCCAAGCGCATGCGGCAACATCACGTGGAGTTGCAATGGCGAGTCATGTGACGCCCCATGCTATATTTACCTCGAGCTAACGTTGTCGTGGAGTGGCCGACGGGAGTCGTGCTTCTCTTCAGACATTGGCTCAGTCATGTTGGTCGGACCAAATTATCCGATTGTTTCGGGAGCATGTCAATGCGAAGAGCACGGAAACGCCCCGAATAAGAATCCCATGGGGGTCCATGCAAGGTCAACA